TGTTGATTAAACATCATAATCATTTTGAAGGCTGTAGATTAGTAATTGTATAATATTATGTTTCACTAAGAGGTGAATAAATAAATGAATGAAGAATTAGTTGGTTTAATGGGACACGCACAGGTGTGAGTGCAGTAGATGTATAGAACATGAGGTTGTAGCACCTACAGTGTCCATGCTGCTCATAATATTTTGCCTCATCAGTGTAAGTTTACTGTTACTCCATGAACTGTGAAGTGTTTAATGAAGAATAATGTGTGGCTCTGCTGTGTAAAACTGCTAAACATGCATGTATTCAATGTTTCATCCAGGGTTACCTCCCAGAGAGTATGTATGACAGGATCCTGACAGGACCCATTGTTCCTGAGGAGGTGAGCCGGCGTGGACGTCGACCCAAGAATCCTCTTGCGAAGACGGCGGTAGGAGGACCCACCACAGCAGCCTCCACCCTTGGCCTGAATCCCCTGCTGGCCAACGGCCTCCTCTCTGGAATGGACCTCACCAGCCTGCAGGCCTTCCAGCAAAACCTCCAGAGCTTACAATCCCTGCAGCTCACAGGACTGATGGGGCTGCCATCCGACAGCAACCTGGCTGCAAGCAACCTAGCCGCCATGTTTCCAATGATGCTATCTGGTATGGCCGGACTGCCAAACCTGCTTGGCATGGGCGGCATGCTTGGGAAGCCCGCTCAGGAGGGTGCAGGAGGCTCAGAGGAAAAGACAAAGGGAACCACCAGTGGTGCAGCAGGAGAGCCGTCTGCCTCTAAAGCCCCTTCTCAGACCTCAGACACCAAAGGAGAAAGGACAGAGAGTTTGAGCACGACTCCTTCCTCAGCGTCCATCTCCTCTTCCTCGGCCACTGCCCCACAAAGTGCTTCAGCTGCCTCCGCAGCCTCTAGTCACCCACTGTCTCTTAACCCCTTGTTACTCTCCAGTATGCTTTACCCAGGGATGCTTCTCACTCCAGGCCTTAACCTTCCTGTGTCTGCCACACAGTCGCAGAGCTCTAGCACTGACCCAACGATTCCTCCTAATCCTATTCCTCCTCCGCCAAAAGCCTCCAAGTCATCGACACGGGAGAGGGTACGGCCAGCAGCAGCAGAAAAGGACGGTGAGGAGGAGGAGGCGTTAGAAGAGGCTTTGGACGACGACGATGAAGAGGAGGAGGAGTCTGCAGAACAAAAAGAAAACAGTGGTCCTGAAGGTTCGGGTAAAGCCGAGACGTCTTCATCAGATTCTGGAAGCTCCTCCTCATCCTCGGATGATTCAGACTCCAGTGATGAGGACTGATTCTCTGAGTATATAATTATAAATTTATTTATGTATCGCCTAGAAATGTATACATACAGTATATTCACATATATATGGATTTTCCAGCACTTGTTGTGATTTCTTTACATGTAAATACAAGAACTAACTAAAAATGTTGTGTAATAAAGACAAAAACCTAAAAAAAAGAGAAAAAAAACAGGAAAACTGACTTAAAAGGAACTGAAATAAAATTTCAGTGTTTGTTCACAAGGTACAGTCTTGTTTTGAGACATTTTGCATGTCAGGACTTTAGCAGATCTCTGAGCTCTGTGAACTTGTACCACACGATTATTATGTACAATTGCAACAAAAAAGGCATTATTGTAATTATGTCAGAAGTTAATTTTATTAAAAAAGTGAAACTACATCAACACGCTCGTTTGAGCTGTGCTATTAATATATTTTGATTGTTGGGGGGTGGGTTTGGGGGAGAAGCGACACTTGACAAACACTTTTCTCTTGTAAATAATATTTCATTACTTTTACAGGTTCATTGACACTTATGCTTTGCAGATCATACGCTGGATATGTCAGCAATAACTTGGGCAGCTAATGAATGTCACTGAAGCTGTAGATTATCTTGTCTGCCATGTTCCCACCCTAGTGCACAAAGGCTGAAGACGTCATTTCTACATTTCTTCTCATTGATTATGGAAAAAACCCCGTATCTGACGCCCCTTCTTTAATATCTCTTTGAGGGGGAGTATTATTCTTAGTTTTTCAGTGAAGAACATGAGTTTGAATCCTTCAAAAATGTTTATTATTCACATGGATTTGTTATCTTAGAAAAGTCATTGTCATCATTACCAACATGTTCCAACATGTCCAAGCCGCACCTTAGCTACCCACAGTAGACGCTGTATACGTTCACTTGCACATCTGTTGATTTTTCTTCTTTTACAGTGTCAGAAACTCTCAGAGCTGTGGGGACAGAAAACAACCTTTATACTGTGCCAAAAAACTGCCCTTTGACCCCCTGAGGTCCTGACAGAGTGTTGTGCTCTCTGTTTATTGGACTTGTTATGACACGGATGATATTACTGCAGCCCCGCGTATTGACTGCATCTTATACCTCAACTGTGCTCAATGGATTGGCTTCACTGTGCAAAATCTACATGTGCATGGGTGTGTGTTTTCTCACCATGTCCTTGTCTCTGCTGGTGTGAGTGTGTGTGTGTCAGAGGCCGTTTCTCTTTCCTTTTCCTTATCTTTACTTTTATTGAGAGCTTCCACTGCATCATTTCGTTTGGCCTGGCCTCTCAGCTGGAATCTACTGCTTCCATAACCTTCCAGTCTGTATGTCACATTACAAGTGTTTTTGACCTTTAAAACATGACTCTTAACAAATTTGGAGGAAACATTTTGTGTTGCATGACCACCTGTCTGCCAGATTCTTGTAGAAGATACATGGCACAAGCACAGAATAGTTCAAACTCTTGGCTGTGATTGTATTAAACAGTCATTGTCTTTTGAAATTTAACACAGTGCCAGATGGGCTGATTTCAGGAAGGGCTCAATAATAGCAGCTTGTGTCGCTGGAAGTTTGCAGCATTGTTGTATTAATCATTTTTTCCTTGACTCCGCTCTGCTGATGACTGGAGTTTCAGCTAGATGTAGAAGTGCCCTTATCCTGTACCTCACTCACTCTCTCTCTCTCTCTGGCATCATCGTCTGTCGAAGCAAGCTGTGCTCCACGCTTGTGCGTTTTCACCCTGTCATCCGTGCACGCGCTCATTTAAGCTGTAACACTGGAGTTCACTCAAGCCGAAGTACCTTTTTGTAATTTTCTCTAGGACTGCTGTTACTCAGTGACTGTTAATAAGATGCATGCGTTTTCTCGGATGAGGTCTTTAATTGGACAGGAGGGGACGACAGAGCGCTCCTCCTGTGCTACAGAAAGCCACTGTATACCACAGTCTGGTTAGTATCGCTGTAGCATTGTTCTGTATTAGTGGGTTCAACCATGAACGAAACCCACAGACTGAAAACACGCCTGAGTTCCGATGTTGCTTTACAGCGTTTTTCTTGGTCTGTTATACATGGAGCTCATCATGGGTTTGCTTGCAATGTAATTGCATCTTTTGTTGTATATTAATACTAACAGTATGGTATTTTTCTAAATGTGGAAGCAAAGAACTTCTACATGCCACTGTCATTTTGTATATCTGCACCTCTGCTCTCTTAAAACTCGTAGTGCCCTTAAGCAAACACCCAGCCATCGCTTCTTCTGCTGTAGGTGACATTTAATGACGTTTTGCTAACCACAGTGATGGGTTGACGGGTTGACGACTGTGCTGAGCCTCTTTAGGACACAAATGGCAAAAAAAAAAAGTAGACGTAAGATTCGCTTTTATGTTGCTCTGTTTATTTCCTTTTGTTTTCTACGTATCCCAAAGCACTGCTAGTGCTAGAGAAGCAGTGTTAAACCTACGTCAAACACACGTTTAAGTAAACAATGACCAATATGCAAGAGGAAATATGAAACACATTACTGCTGTACAGGGACGTCTGTGTTCAGATTTCATTCATGTAATCACTGAGATGACGAGCATCATGGGATTTGTATTTTTTATTTCAAGCTTGATAATAGCCTAAATGTCACCCTGGTCAGTTTTTTGTCTTGGTTTTGTTTTTGTTTTTTTCATTGGACAGTTGTAATATTTGCAAGTTGTGGTCTGTGTAGTCGAAATAATTCTTTATGTAGTGCAGGAAAACACGTCTTAAAAGTCATTTGTAATTTATTGGATTACTTTCTATGAAGTTCTATAGAGGAAATTGAGGTTTAATTATTTTTATTAAACATATTCTTCTGACTATCATAAAGTGTGCTCTTTGCCTGTTGCTTTGTCTTGTGGGGCCTCGATGGAGAAATCACTGATACCATCTGAAATGTTTCCTCCTCATATCTGTAAAAGCTTCACTTCTCCTTCATCCTTAATGTTTCTAAGTTAAATTTGTTCTTACTTTGTTTTATCTAAGTGATAAAGTTACAAACCAAAGAACAAAGCAAATATCCTCTGTTTTGTAGCTGTAGCACTTTGAAAACAACATTAATCAGAGGGCATAAAAAGTGTAAATTATAACACTGATAATGACACAACACCATTTTCCTCCAAGCATGATGGAGGGATGTGGTCTGGGTCTGGGATAAACTTCTCACATTTGAGTGCACATTTTGATTACTGCACTCAAATTAGTTTGATTAGATAAGTGCAGTTCTACAAATTTTTTTGACTTTCTTTTACATTGAAACATTTTTGTTAACTTTCCAGGGAATAATACACAGATGTGGATTTTCTGCTGTTTAGGACTATATGTTCTATGACAAAGAAATCCCATACAAAGTTATAAAGCCACTTTTCTTCCCTTTTATGTTTCTACTATACAAACTAGATACTTGTGTCGGAATCTTTGGCCTTCGCAGAGTTACTCTGCTGAATATATAAATATTCTATATATATATTCTATATATGTATTCTAGTGTTTCTTTGTACATGATTTGCACAGGCTGCTTCATGTAGAATTATTACAGTGCTGCAGAAAGTGTCTGAGGGAGTGAGAAAGTTCAAACAAAGGGTTAAACAGTTTTCCCTCTCCTCTATAAGTCCTCCACACCTCCTCTTGGTGTCGCTCGGTGACCAGTAGAGCTGCTCACTGCTGATCATAGCAACCACACACAGATGACAAGTTTGGACTTGTCTGCTGACAGAGAGGCCAATGGGATAAACTTCCTCAGCCTGCAGAGCAGCAGCAGGTTGTCTGCTCTGAACCATGCTGCACTTCTCCACTGACTGCTCCGAGACACGCACAGAGAAGACCCTCTGTCTGACTCCTGGACCTTAACCATAATCTGGTAAGTCAGCTGTTGATGAAATGATAAATGCCAGACAGATGCTCTGAAATGTAAGCTGACACTTTGAAACCAAACACTGACATGTTTCTGTATGAGCTGAAACTCCACAAGCTGCAGGACACACTTTCAAAAGTTGAATCTCTGCTGTAACTGATGCACTGATACATTTCCAATAATGATCAGAAACAGAATGAGCCGCAGAGATGTTTACCACGTGTTTAAAAGTGAAAGCAATGGCCGAGTTAAATACTGTGTCAGTGAAGGCAACAGGAGGAAACAGGAACTGGGTGTTACCCAAATAGACAGGCCACAGATTATACATTATTCATTACGTCTCATGACCTGTCATTGTTTACCAAGTTCGCAGCTGAATTAAAAACACCAAAGAAATATGGAAAGTTGGATGATAAGATAAGATTCACTTTTATTGTACCATCGTAGAGGAAATTCAAAATTTACACAGCAGCACAAGGAAGTAGCAGCATAAAGGACATGTAAGAAATAAGAATTGAAACAGATTAAATGAGAGAAAAGTAGAAACACAAAAGGCTGTTTTTCTAAATGTGCAATATGAAGAGAAAAGTTGTATAATTGTGCACTTTGTCCCAATTCTTTGCAATATGTAATAAACAATATGTGCAGCAGTTTGTTTTGGATTATGGATCTTATTGTTAGACGGTGGGCGTTGTTTATACAAAGCTGTGTCCTTCCATATAATGCTTTGTTAGTTTGTGTGAAGCGCAACAAGCTGAGTAAATAAGGAAAATCATTTTCTGCTGCGGGTGTGTTCTCTATTATCTGCTTCTTTGTAGCGGCAACGTCATTGATCTTATGTCAAAGGAGGATAAAAATTCTGGGTATTTTTTAAGCAGTGCATGAGCAGGGCCTGCAGCTTCACGCACAACAGGCCACAGTGATGATACATGTGTGCTAGGAGCAGCATATAAACTGATACTTTTACATGCACTTCCTGTTTGTGAGATGACTGGTCTCACACCTGCAGCTGTGGAAGTGAGTCAGAAAATGTGGATCACATAAGATCATTTATTTATCCCGAAAGAAATTCTTGTGCCCGCTTGCTCCAAGATTACAGCAACACAATTTACAATAGTGTTTTGATTCTATACAAAGTGATATGTTTTAAGTATAAACTGTTTTATTCAAGTTCCTAAATGAGCCAGTGTGTCTTCTTATTTTAGAAGCTTACAAAAAAGAAATCTGTCTGTCAGACCTCAACTCTGCCCATAATGATGAGATGTAATGGAGAGATGAGGGGAAGTAAATAAATGAGTGGCAGTAGTTAAATCTAAATCAATATTAGATTAAAAAAGAACCTTATCTTGAGGTGTCAGGATATATGTCGGATTAAACTTCCATCTTGCCTGAGCGAATAAAACAGATGTCAGAACTGAAACGCTAGAAAAAATTGGACAATAAAAATTTAACTTAAATTCACCACATCCAGATTTTATTTGGATCTGCAAAGAAATTGCTCACACTCATAAATATCAGTCCCTTGAATTATTCTCTGAGAAATCAAGGAACTTGTTGAAAACCGCACAATGTTGAAGTGATAAAAACATTCCTGGATCTGATCCGGATCCGGGGTTCCTCCTGGGGTCATGTCGGGCCCCTCGACAAACTTCCCTGGGAATCGGTTCAGTCATTTTTTTCTTCTTACTTCTAATTAACAAAAAAATACACAACATCCTAGTTGGACGTGGACGGAGCCAGTGATGGAATCAGACTGTGTCCATTAAGAGAAAATATCAGATTGACATGATGTACCCTCTGCAAGTACATTTGATTTTACGGACGTACAATACACCACATGATCAGGATTAGTGGTGTCATATGACAAATAATAAGAAATGAATATTAATGTAAACACCCAATCAGTGTTCAGTCCTCTTGTCCCCCCTGTGTCCCACACTGTGGACTGAGGTCTGTCTGACTCAGTGGGGACAGTTACACAGGATGATAAACGGCACATGTGGAAATGATTAGAGGAACAGAGTCTCCTTTCTGTGGAGGCAGGATGGACACACACACACACACACACACACACACACACTGATATAGTGTAGATTCTGAGTTAGTGCTTCAGGCCTGTGGCACATACAAAGTGTTGGCGATGACACATGACCTCTGTGACTCTGGGATAAAAATGCATTAAATGGAGTAATAGAATAGGTTGTCAGCTCAACCTGAAATAATCTGGTTTGCCTTTTAATGCCGTTGGTTTGTCTTTATGGAACGAGCACTGTGCACACAGGAGGCTACACAGGGATTCTAGTCGCTTTACAGACGTATAAATGTCGTCAGGCATCTAAAATACTCATGTCGTTGCACATGTTTTTAAAAATGAGTCGTATCAATGAAAGTATTACCTGAAATAATAATAACATAAAATGATTCTTTCTTTGAGTAACGTTACACAGTCACGTTCATGATTCAGACTGAGGGTTTGACACAGTTTCTACAAAGACACCCTTTCTTATATATATAGAAATATATATATCTATATATATTGTTTATTTGTATGAAGTAGTTTTTGAGTGGAAAAATAAATCAAATTATTCCTGAAAAATAGGGCATTTTTATCTCTTATTTGTCGAGTTTTCTTTTTGTACTTTATTAATAATTGATGTTTGCACTGTGTTGCTGCCAATTATTGTTGTTGTTGCCTAATTGCCTAACTGTGTGTTTTCTGTGTAGTCGCCCTATCCTGCACTGACTCTCGCCCTGTGAGAGTGTGAGGGTCACCATGGCAACCGAGCCTCAGGGCAACCCACAATGGTTCGGCCCCAGTGATCACCTGATGTCTATGTTTAGGTTAGTGCTGCATCTCACTGTATTACTCACACTGTGGACACTTTGTGTTTGTGTTATTTTATGTTGTTATACAGCAAATGGTGACTCGCACATTCTGTAACACACAGTTAGAGTGCACGGCACCAGTCCCTTTGTCTTGAAGACACTGTCTCTGATGTGTCAGTGTGATAGTACTCCACCTAACTCGTACACGCATGTTAGGTTATGACACATACTAGAAAAATAACGACAGCTACTGAGTGTTACTGGTGCATTATTGGTAACAGGTACACAGACCAGGGTTTGCACTGACAAAGGTCAGTTTAGTCATATACAGAACGCAGTGGAATATTCTCAGCATGCAGGAGGAAGTAAACTATATAAGCTCTCTAATCTTGTTGTCTGTCCAAGTTGAAATCTTTGTCCGCGTCTTCTACGTGTATGGCACCTGTTATTCAACCTGATATGATATCTTATTATTATATTGGTGTATTATAATTGTAGTGTATTAGAAACATGATCAATCACCACTCACTCCAGACAATATCCTGCTGTAGTCTCACATGGGCTCACTCGGACCTTAACCGGACATTTCACAAGGCTGGCAGAAATAGTTCCGGAAAATGTCCAAAGAAATATTCGCGTTCTCACATACAAGTTCTCTGGATGATTGAAGGAGAATATCTGGAGTTAAGTACGCTGCCTTTTGAATCTGTCAATCATGTTTATTTCATCACCCTGTCATGATTTCCTGATTTCTGAATTGAGGGTTGGACACAGGCCTGGGTTTCAAAAAACTATTCTCTGATTACAATCGATCTTTATTTGAATGATCCGATATTGATTCGTAAAAAGGACGGATCGATCACACTCACGTCCCCGGGGCGTAATAAATGTTGTTTTTGGTGCTGCCTTCAGGTGCTGTCAAAAAAAACAAAACACTACATAGAAAAGAATCATAAAAAAAAGAAGAAAAAAGAATCTTCAGTGTTGTTTTTAATCTCACAGCTTCCTCACTGGAGCTCATCACCTGCATGTGTTTGGTAGCACTAGTCTATGCATAGACGAAAAAAAAAAAAAAAATTATATACATTTATAATAATTATAGTATTTATTATTATTGGTTTTATTATCATTATCATAGCAAAGCTTTGTTGAATTTCCTATTGTGACGCACTCTTTAAAACTCTCAACACTAAGTCCACTGTGTGAAAAGGTGCCCCCCCCAAAAATTTCTAATTGCCCCCTAAAATCTGAGCAGTCTAGAGCCGGGCCTGGTTCAGTTCATCTCTGTGTAACCATAATGTTATTTGAGGAAGTTTCTGTGCAGTTGTGTGGCTTTTTATCTACTTCTTCTTCCTTTTATTTACTTCTCCCGTCCCTGTCCCATGATTCCCCTGTTTCAGGAAGTGCTCCAGCGATCCATCCGAGGCAGTCAAAGTGAGACTGAAGCGTATGCTGCACATGTTTCTGCTCCACCACGGGGACAGTTTAGGTAATGAGAGGACCAAAGGTATACTAACTTATTCAGCGATTGAACAATGGGACCAGGGGATAGAAATTCAATGTTGGGGATAAATGCACGATGAAGGCTTGTGTTCAATATTACTGGAGGAAAAAAAAAATTAAAATTGTTTTTTATATCTATTATTCATTGGAATATTAATTTGTTCTATCAGAAGAAAAAGCATGTCTGCGAGCAACCTCCAACATTAAATCCCTCCATGATGAGAGAGTTCTTTAATGATAGGTGTTAAACTGTGGAATAAAGCTCTTGTTGCTGACACATGTCACATCTAATCCCTGTGATACTGTTGGCAGAGTTGGCAGCGAGGTGCTGCCACCAGGCAGAGTTCTGGTACTACAGGATCCTGGAGAAACTGGTCAGTCAGGAGAGGAGAAGGCTGGGCATCAGCGACGTGTCTGTGAGTTTACCCCCCTCCTATGGCCACATGTGGAACTGCTGTTGAGTTAATACATTTTTACTCAAATGTTATAAATGTTATACCTATATACAGTCTATATATGCACATATACAGATACTTCTATTTCAATATACCCTTATACCCAGTGCACAAATACAGTTTAAATCCTCATGCAGTCATCCTGTGTCATTGCACTTTGCTCAAGTACAGAAAATGTTTTGAATGAAATCTTCTTCATTTAAATGAGCCCATGGATGTTTTGTTTTGTTTCTCTGCTTCGTTGCCAATGTCTGATTCTTCACTTTCTTCTATCTCGTCACAAACATGTGTGCCGCACTCTTCTTCACAGTTTAGTCTCCCTCTCTTGTCTGTTTCGTCTTGATGTACATCTTAAACACCATGTTATGAAAATCAACATATTCTCAATATTAAAATTAGGTTTTTATCATTATTATGATGTTTCAGTTTTAAAGGAAAACACTGTGCATGTGTCGCAGGGCATCTTGAAGGCGGATCTTGTGCAGCGCTGTCTGGTGGCCTGTTGTCTGCAGATTTCCATTTGCTCAAACCATCTACCATGTGATTTGCCTCGGCTCCTTCAGATCTTACAGATGACGTCATACCACTTCTGGAGGGTGTGTTTCCCAGCAGCTTGTTAACTTCACATATGTATACAACCTGTCATCGAGTACATGTTTAGAGAGTAAATGTCCTTTTAACCCTGCCAAGAAGGTGTGCATTTGTTTGTCGATTAGTGAGATTACACAAAACCCACAGGATGGATTATCATGAATCTTGAAGGGAAGAGGCCATTACATTTTGGTGGTGATCTGGTGAAGGAGGCGGATCCAGCATTTTTTTTTTAATCACTG